TCAGAGAAACGAAATGCTACTATCGGGAATTTTCAGACAAAACGAAATGCGATTTATCAGAAATTTTCAGATATTTGTTACGTGAAAACGAAATACTAATATCAGAAATTTTCAGGTAAAACGAAATGCGAATATCAGAAACCTTCAGATAGTTGTTGCGAGAAAATAATTTTTTTTTCAGAGATTTGACTAAGTCCTACTTGCGTTACTAATGAGTGATCAATAGATCGCAAGCTGGCTACTTGATTGAGCGGGTCCTCTGAATGAGAGGTCCGCTCCGATACCAAACTGTTGCATGGTAGCAGTCTATTACCATCCATTCAGGGCCGTCGGCGAACCAGTGCGTGGCGTGGGCTTGCAAGTATCCATTCCAATTTGGCCAGGTCCAGTGCTTCTTGATGGCGGTATTGGTCTATTGACTCTATATTCTACTGGTCTATTCCGACTGGAGGAGAAATGTTTGTGCCCGTGGTTGGACAGGGGCGTGATTTGGGTAAGCCGGCATGCGGCTGGAACACCAACCATTGTGCCACTGGCAGCGCTATGGGGCTGCCTTGTCCAGGTCTGGCCCGTAGGCCCACCAGTACTTGCAGATAGATCCCCATGGTTTCAAAATTCAAATACATACGTTCGCCCCCCGGCGCTGTGAGTGATCGGCATGTCCCTGGCCTTTGTGGAAATCTCCGAGAAAGTTTGCGAAGGAGGGCAATAAATTTTCAATTTCAGAATTGTCCGAATTGCAGAATATGCAATGAAAAAAAAATGTTTTTGGCAGTACGGATGGAATCCATTCACACATTGACAAACTCGTCAAAGGCAACTTATTTTAAGTTATTTACAAGTTTTAGCACATCTTTCTGAGAGCAGCTGATCTGTGTGAAATCCTGGGAGTTGCTCACGATGCCGGGAGGCTGAGTGCAGGGCCGTCTGGACTATGCCTATGTCTAGGTTCTGAAATCGATGCATGTTATCCAACCCGAAGTCTACTTTTATAATATTTTTAATTTTTAATGCCAGCCAATTCTGACTGTCAGATTTCTCAACAAAGACCTAGATGTAGTCCAGTCCAGTGAGGCCTGAACCTAAGGTGTCTTGCACTTGGTTGATTTTGTGTGACGGCCAGAGCTATCGGCCGCGGGCCCCTTTCGGAGGCGGCCTGCCACTGATTCATTTTATCTACGGCCCTTGGCCTCCTAAATTTTCGTAGAGGCTCAAAACAGGTTCTCCAGTTACCTGGGGCCATGTACTGGCGGTTTAAGGTGATGTGCTGCCGACCACTGATGTACGTGTTAGGGAATGCTCACAGTAAGACTTTTTCCGACCGAATTCGATCCTAATTATGGCAGGATGCTTACAAAACGCGTCTGATTATGTCCTTAGGTGAGTCTTGACCTTGCTTTGTTTGTTGAGGGGTGAACTGCAATGGCTCGTTGTGCTGTGCGCTTGCCAAATGTTTTCTGTTGATGTCAACCTCGAGATCAGATTGCTTCAGGTGAGCTACACTATGTGTGCTAGCTAAATTTTTTCTGTTGATGCCATTCTCCAGATCAGATTGCTGCCCTGGAGGGTGTGGCCGGACAGTCTGTTGTGTCTCAGGTGAGCTCCGTTACGGCAAATCCAGTCCCAGCAAAGCCTCTAGTTCTGCATGCAGAACTTTTGTTGTATTGCTGGTTGCAAGTGGTTTATGCAGATGTTAAAGAAATAATGCTTTGACATGTGTTACTTTCACCTGTTGCCTTCCCTTGATTGTTTTTGTGCTTGAGATGCATGAGAGCTTACTGTATTTCGCACCCCTGGACAGCCAGGGTTGCATACCTGCGTACCACCGACGCCGACCACCGACCATTTTCCAGCCTACCAGTAGGGCCAACCGGTCAGCGGTCTGCCGATCAGTCTGTAGAGGGCCACCCCCTGATTTTTTTCAAATCTGAGTTCAGGGCTATACTGCGCTTGCTGACTGCATCCGAAATCTGCACAGAAACTTTGTTTGGGGGGGGGGGGG